GACAGGAAAAAGTTAATCATCAGTTTTGAATTTATTACCATCTTCAATATTGCAATATCAAAGATTTTAGCTCTAATGCATGAAACACTTTTAGGCAAGTTACTACTTATATTTGAAGCTTTGTGTATTAAATTTTCTGTGCCCATTAGGGCCGAAAAAAAAAAAAAAATTACAAAAATTTTGCATTTTTATCTTCTGTATTTCAAGTTGCTATTGCAGAGCTTGTATATACGCATATTTACCTTCCGTAACGCATTAAACAAAAAAAATTAATAATAATTCCATAGTAACGCTTTACAAAAAGAAACTTACAAAACAAATCATTTCAAAAGAATACTTTTGAAACAGTTCCTTACGGAAGGAGCGTTTCGGAATGTGCACTTACGGAAAAGACTCGAAAGCATTCGTTAAACTGTTAAACAAACAAACATATGTTACTATTTATTATTTAAATAAAAATAATGTTGTTAAATGATTCTTCAATAATTTATACATATATATCTTATATATATATATATATATATATATATATATATATATATATATATATATATATATATATATATATATATATATATATATATATATATATATATATATATATATATATATATATATATATATATATATATATATATATATATATATATATATATATATATATATATATTTAAATGACGACATCGTGTACATCTTGTATGAGAGTTGAATAAATTTAATATATGAACATCAATGAATACGAATTTTCTCAATACTAATGTTTTTATTTAATCTAAAAAATTTTCGCTAGATTATTGATACTAGCATCTTCAGTTGTAATTAAAGCTGAAGATGCTAGTATCAATAATCTAGCAAAAATTTTTTAGTTTGAATAAAAAAATTTGTTTTACAATGATGACATTTAGCAAATGTATTATTTATTATAGCTCAATCTACATCATTTTAAACATATGATTTAGTCACTCTAAATTTTTTTTTTTGCCTTAAAACGGAAAAGTTAATATTGTTCAAGTTATCTTATCATTTTTTAATTCTTATATTGAATGACATTTTAAAAAGTATATTTCATTAAAGTCTATTGACACAATCCCAAGTTAAAACAATAATTTTAAATTAATAATTAATTAATAATCATCAATAAGATGAGCTTAGAAAGAGAAAGAATAACGATTCGTATGATAACTAATTTTAGTCGAATTTTTTTAACCATGGAAAGTTAATTTAAACTTATGGTTTGAAATCTAAAATGTAAGATAAACTTCTTATCAATCATGTTTTATAAAAAATATTTATTTATAATTATATGTAAAAATTATTAAGCAACATTTAATAAAGCTATATTAAATAAAGGTATAACACTCTATAGAAATGTATTTTAAAGATATTCTTAAACTATTTACTCATAGTATAGTCAAAACTTCGAGTTCGATTTTTCAAAATGCGGAAAAAAAGTCCTATTAGTTTATGTTTTGATTAATCTATTTAAATGTTTATAAGGTAATAAAGAAGGTTAACTTTATTACCTACATATCTGTTTTTTTCATAAAAAATGCCTATTTATTGAAAAAAAAGTGCTTTATAAAATATAAAAAAAAGTTTTTTAGTATACATTTTATGATAGGTATAGTGTCCATCTATATAATTTATGAAAATATTCTGATTTGACTTTCAGAAAACTTTACTTCAAGGTTTTGACATAAGGATAACATAACAAATTCTTATGTTTTAATATACCTACAACTTTTGCTAAATATACTGCGGGCTGAGAGGTCAAACCTACAAAAATTAAAGAATTAAAGGTTAAAAAGAAAACTTTTACAAGAAATGCTTATTGTAAAAACACCTTTTGTTTTTCTTGTAAAAACACCTTAAGTTACTTTTTTAAAACACCAAAAAAATTCTTCTTCTATTAATATAAATTTTAATAGTTATACTTTATATAAAATTTTAGTAAAGTTTTATATAAAGTATAACTATTAAATTTTAAATCAAACTTTAAACTATTAATTTAAAATTAAAACCAATAAAATAAAAAACAAATAGGTAAAGTCTTTACCTATTGGTTTTGATATAAAATCTAATTTAATTTTGATAAAAAATTAAATTAGATTTTTCTTTTTTAATTTATTAGACAAGTTACTTTTTTTATGTTATAAAAGTAGACATAAAACGCCTAGATCATATGTAATTGGTGCAGAGATTTGTGATTGTTTAATACAACCGTTACGGGGGTTCAAGGGGTAAACTCCTTACGCAGACAGATTTGTTCAATGTGTGCCATTGAAACTTATACTGTGTTGTTTGTTGGCCCGACGTGTTGCAAAATATATATATATTATTATTTATTAATCACCCTCTGTAAATTAAATTTATAACGTAAAAATACAAACTAAGAAATAAGAAAGATAAAAAAAAGAAAGTATCATTTAGGAATGTTATCTTCAAGCGTATTTTTAAAAATTGTTCGCTGTTGTTTCACATTTCAACATTGAACTGTCTGTACCAAAATATGAAGAGCTTCAGGAATTAAATTCTCTGAGTCTCTAAGTTTTACTTTTTTTTTAACCAGTTTTAAGGTTTTCATATTCAGTTTATGAAGATCACATAATTCTTTTATATCATCTAAAAAAGAAGATTTAACTGAATAGTGGTTAAATTGGAAATTGATGATTTCATAGGTTTCTTTATTATTTAAAAGGCGGACCGGAAAACTTCAAATATTTGACTAAGTTTCAAATTTTATATAGTTAATGCATTAATAACAATCAATTTAAAAAAACAATTACTTTTTAAAAATATAAATCTTTTCTTCCTTTTTTAGTAACAATTTTATTGAAGTACTCAAAATACCGGTTGTTACATTTTTTTATAAATAAGGTTTACTAAGTTTGTTTTATCCGTAAAGGAAAGTTTCAAAAAATCAGTTTTTGAAATTGTTCAAAATACGAAGGTTATAAACAGCTAACAAATACGGATAAAAAAAACTACGGATGTTAATGATGTTAATATATCGTACTCATGTATAGTTTTTATATAAAATGTGCTTATAGTTTATGAAATAATTTTAAACCTTGTTTAAAGTTTGGCAATCTTTAATTTATCCTTAGTAACATTTTTGTAAAAGCATCAAGAAAAGTTTTGTTTTAAATGGATTAAAAAAATTTTAATTGATGAAAAGAAATAGTGTTGTTTATCAAAAGATTTGAAGATCACTTACAAAATTGTCTTTATGACTTCATTAGCTTTTTTTTGGAACTGCAAACCGCTTTTTTAGATAGAATCAATAGTATTAGCACAATTTTTATATATTTTTTAAATTATTTATTTTTTGTATTATTTTTTTTTCAAATTGATGTTGAATTAAATTATAAGACCAATGACACTCACTTATTTTAATTGTGAGGAATTGTATATTTCAACAAAACAATAAGATAATGGGTGGGAAACAAAAACTACAAATATACTTATATTTCCAGTTTCGTTTCCACCCAATTTTTTATTTTATTTTTATTGTTTAATTTTTTTATTATTTTATTTTATTACTTTAAAATACTAATTGTTTTTTGTAAACACGGCTGGCGTGATTTTTAGCGAGAAAGTTTTTTTACGCTTTGAAAAAGGTAAAATAGTTTGATTTAAAACAAAGAGATGGTACTCCTCCTCCTACTTCTTAGAAGAAAACTAAAAACTCATGTAAATAATGAATTTTTTCGTAGTTTGCATTATATACAAAAAATTAATAGCAACAACAATGACAGTAGTAATAATAACTACAACAAGAAGAACTATGGACTGTCTGATACAATAAAACAAAGAATCCAAACATCAACAAGGTAAATCGTTTGTAACAACCGCTATTTAAAGAAAGTTGCTCTAGATTAACTACTCGTAAACGAAACTAATACAATTAATCAAATAAACCACACAAAAGACATAAAAATCTCTACTTAAAACTCAAAAAAAAGGAAAGAACAGAATTTTCGTACAGCGACCAATGACTTGTCCAAATTATAGATGGTAGTTCCAAAATTAAAATAATTTTTTATAAACTCGCATAATTTTGTTAAGTTTACTATTTTACCTAATAGTAGAATCCACTTTAGACCATGTGACACAACTAAGAAGTGTACCTCAAAATATTTTTAATGAAATGGGTGATTTCATTTATTCAGTATCATCACATCAATAACAAAATATTGATAAATAAGGGAAAAGTTATCTTTTTTTTTTAACTATCTATTTAAAAAAGTTTATGAATAATTTTGGAATTATCTAGCTTTATCACATTATGCTAAATCAGTCAGGATCAGGGTCACACTATGCTAAATTACATGCAGTTTTTACACTATGCTTAATCAGTCACAGATTGTCTGCATACGCAAAATATACCATTGGTAACAAAAGTTACAAATCTAAAAATTTAGAAACTTGTCTTTTTTTGAGGCATTTCTCAAACAAACAGTGTACATGCAGATGATGTTTACCTAACTAAAAAGCAGGTAATACGAAAGAAAACTGAATATCAAAGTTGTACAAATGCTATCAAAGTATTACAAATATTTTCATAAAATACAAATGTTCACCAAGTTAACTTTTGAACATTTAAAAAAGAAAAAAGTTATACTAAATAAACCAATTTTAATATGACTTTATGTGAAGACGAGTACATAAGTTTCAAAAGAACAAAATTTTTTTTATCGTGATTAAATAACAATGATAACGGTAATGACGAAAATGATGACGACAATAACAATAAACATGTATACATATATATATTTTTTTAAATAATATTATTTTTGTCTTAGTTGCTATACTTTTTTTTTATTTTAATTACATTTATTCCATGATTAATTGGAAACACTGAAGTTGATTTTTACACGAAATTACTCAACGTAGCCTTAAACTTCATACTCGATATTTTTGCAGAACACATAAAAATATATTACTTAAATAGAAAATAAATAAAAAACACTTATTGTTTTCGCTAATAGCCCACTTACAAATACACATAGTCATGTCCTTAAACTGTATGACGCTCATTCCAATAACAATTAATCATCACTAAACGAATGACAAAGCAGTAGTCCATGTTTTTCTTGCTCAACCAGTGCCTGTTAATCAAAGCACCGTCTATTTAAAAAAAAAACACTGTTTCCGTTATGCGACTTTTAAAAAGACTTTCTCTTTTTTTTACTTTGAAAGAAGACCGTTTTGAAGAAAAAATTTCAGTATTAAACTCTTTGTGTTCAACCAAAATCAACCAAAGATATTTATCAACGAAAGCAAATATTCAAAACTAAACTGTTTATAGAAGACTATGGAGTTTGATAAAAGTAAAATAAGTATTCATTGACACTCGCAGTTCATGAAGAGTGTTTGGAATTTATCTGGGAAACTGTAAATAAACTACGATTATTTTTTTAAACAGCAAGTTTTATTCTTTTTTTTTTAATTTAATTTTCTGATTGTTCTAAACATTAATTATAGGGTTTGTTAATATACTTATTTAATGGATATTTAATGAGGCATATGTATATATATATATATATATATATATATTATATATATATATATATATATATATATATATATATATATATATATATATATATATATATATATATTTATTTATTTATATATATATTTAATTTGGTATAAGTAGTTACGTTATCGAAAAAAAAAAAGTTGCATTTGGCACAGCTCGAGTTAAAAATAGTTTGCACTAACATCCAATTGTTATTTTCATAGAGTTACGTAAATTACGTTAAATGTTTTGCTTGGAATTTTTTTGATTTAAAATTTCCGGTTACGTATCGATTCGTATTCATCAGTCATATGGCTTTTCAATAATATTAATATGTTATAGTAATGTTAATTATTTCTTATTTAAATTTTATGCATTTTTTTTTTAGTGGATTTTTGTAATGGTTTGGTTCATTATTTTTGCTTAAAAACATTAAAAAATTATCGATTGAGTTTACAAAACTAGAAGAAATTGAATAATTTTTAAGTAAAGTTTGTTGTAACTTCTTATTTCAAAACTAAAGACTACACTCTACTGAAATAAAGCATTTTTAACATAGCATTTTAACAGCTATCAGATATATTTACCAAAGCTTTAATAAAAATTCCGAAGTACTTAATAGAAAAATATTTGCATGCGCATTAAGTCCGTAAATCATGACTTGTCTAATCAAACAAATAAATTTTATGTCTTGTCTAATCAAATAAATAAAGCCTATTTATGATTATAAAATAAAACGTGTTTATAATTTTTCAGGAAAAAATTAAAATTGATTATATACTTACCGCTATTGTTTGTCATAAACTGATGGATGATACATTCTTATTTAAATAAGGAAATGTTTTGTAAATTATTAATATAATGAAAGAAACATGTAAATAAAATTAGACAGAAAAAAAAAAAAAACAATTGATGACCAGAAATTTCAAGTCTAGAAAATTAAGTATAATATTTTATAGATGTATATGAAAAAATATTATATAATATTTATTTCTTTATTTAAAAACTTTTTGAAAAAATACTTAAGTAAATATTAAGTTTCAATATAAAAATATAAACTTAAATGAAAATTATAAGATTTTATAAAATTCTAAGATTTTATAAAATTGTAAGATTTTATAAAATTGTAAGATTTTATATTTCCAATGTTTTAATTTTGAAACTTTAACAACAAAAAATATTAACTTTAGAGTATTTATTAATTTATATATTTTACTTAAACTGTATAAATAAAATGGTTTTGTTTATTATATTAAAAAGAAAGACAAAAATAAATAACAAAGAAGCGTCCTCTGAATTGAAGTGATTCTGGTTCAGTATGTTCTCACAAAACCTTGTACGTCTGCTTGTATTTCTTGCAAGTTTTATCACTATTTGCCAAAGTATGTGTGATCAAAGACCATATGGTGGAAAAATGATGTGTTGCACTGGAAAAGATGCACAATGTTTTGTAAAGATGGAGAACAACCGTACACCTGGACGAACTAATGCAATATGTTACTGCGATTCACACTGTAAATTTACAGACGACTGTTGCCAAGACTACGATAAAATACAAAAGCTCTGTCAGGGTAAGCATAATGCTTTATTAAAAGCTATAAACTATTATTTAAGTATTTTTTTATCGCAACTGCTATAAATAAATATTATCTCAGAATTATATTTACTAAATATTATTTTTATGGATTTCAACTTATTTTTATTTAAACAAAATTTATACTTTTAATTAAATAAAAAAAAATTTAGTGTTAATCAATATTATTGTATTTTTAATAAAATTATTATTTTTTAAATAATAATGATTTTATTAAAAACAATCATTTAAAATTGAATAATTAAGTTTTTATAATTATCTCAAATAGTATAAAAAAATAGTGTTTTTTTCACTTCTTAGGAGCTATTGATTGCGAGGTAAGCGAGTGGGGAGATTGGGGGAACTGCAGCTCTTCTTGTGGATCCGGGGTAATGAACAGAAGGCGCAAAATAACCCAGATGCCATCTAACGGAGGAAAAACATGTCCTATTCTCTTACAAACACGAGGCTGTAACACAAACAATGTGTGCAAAGACAATTGTAAGTTTAAATTAAGCTTTTTCAACAAAAGGTTACAACTAAAATTAGTGACGGCTCCAGGAATATTTGGTGGAGGGGGATGTTGAAATATTTTTGTAATTTATATTACATTTGCATCAACCCCCTTAACCCTCTCCCCCTCCGGGATCCGTTACTTACTATAATTACATTTTTACTCTATATTTTTCAACAAAGTTATGTTTATGATCTAATTCTATTAGTTTTCAAATTATAAGCTTGTTTGGCTCTTTAGAAGTAAATAAAGTTCAATAATTTTATTTACTTGTGCTTATGAACCCGTGGCGCAGTGGTTAGAGTACTGACGTGGCGCGGTGAAAAGAGTCAATCATCTTATTATGCAAACTAGATATTGTATTTTTAAAACAGTTGTTTATTTATTACTTATATTCATTTAAATTTATCAAAACTATTATTAGTTGAATTAAGTTCCACATAATGCACACTTAATTCATAAATGTCATTTTCTTTTTTTTTTTTTTTTTTGATAATTTTTTTTTTTTTTTTTTTTGCAAATTAAATTACTAATTAAAAACTTTAATTTTGATTATTCATGATGATTTCTTCAATAAAGATTTTCAATTTTTAAATTTCAAGTGTACAATAAAACAATAATACATATTAGCAGATTAATAACTAGTTTAATCAATAATTCAGTTATTTATATGTATTTGGAACGACAAGTAATTTTAATTTGTTTAAATATTCGGTGTTAAATCCTTTTCAAAAAAATATTTAAAAAGTTATTTTTTTTTTAAACTACACTAGGAGCTTTTTTATAACATTCAAACTTTTATTTTTGAGTTCTTTATAGTTTTAATTTTTATATTTATTACTAGAGAATTAACAGAATACCCTCTGTTGTTTATTTAGTTACAATGTTGGTTACTTAAAAACCTTTCTTGGTTTGTTAAAAATAAACTTTTTTTTTTGTAGACGAAAGCGCATTGATTTTACCGACAACGTATCGCCGACAACCTTTGGGAGAATTTATGTTTGAAAATATTTTGCCAGTTGAAAAATCAAGTGAATTAACTGAAAAACAACGAATATCACCCACGTATTTTTTTTTCTACATATATATATATATATATATATATATATATATATATATATATATATATATATATATATATATATATATATATATATATATAGTATATATATATATATATATATATATATATATATATATATATATATATATATATATATATATATATATATATATATATATGTATATATATATATATATATATATATATATATATATATATATATATATATATATATATATATATATATATATATATATATATATATATATATATGTATGTATGTATACTAACATATATGTTGTAATCATGTACCATTAAAACTTAAAAACTTTTTCTAAAATATGAACTTGGTGTGATATTTTTAAATAGATATACTTTAATTTTTTTAAATTTAGATATTCGTATTGCGTACACTATAGGATGAGTTACAAGCGCTCCTCTTGTGAAAATACATGGGCCGATAGTTTTATAAGCAGCGTTCCAGTATGTGCAGAATGTCAATCGCGTGTTATGAATGATGGTCGATGTAGAGGAGAAGGATCCATTGGTGTTAAAACTCGATGGAAAGCATTGGGATTATCTCAATGTCAAGGGGACTGGATTCGACTTGGGCCAATTATTCCGAATTGCACATGTGACGAAAATGGGTTTTCAAATTTTGTTTTTGTGTAAAACAAGTCCGCGCTTATGTACATTTAGAGAAAACTTACTACATTGAACCAAACATTTAATTGCCGCAAATGTGAAATTCAAAAAGAAAGAATAACTTTTGTAAATAATATACAGCAAATATTTTATATTATTTATTAATTTCAATTTCCAATTTGTGCATTGACAAAAAAATGCACAAGAAATGCAAAAGATATTGAATTATATTTTTATCAGATATTTTAACCCTTTTTTTGTAAATTTATGACACATAATAAAAACGTAAAAAATAATTGATATTTGAAGTTAAATTTACTTGAATTTTATTATAAAGAATTTGACCATTATCTCGCCAGAAACAAAAACTATATATATATATTTTTTTTTTTTTTCGCAAATGATTTTTTATATTTATATTTAAATCTTTTTAACTGTTTATAAAATTGTTTCAAACGATTTGTGCATTATAAAGAAATATTAACTTCAAAAGTTATAATTTTTTTTTTTTTGTATATTTATTTATAATGTAAAATACAACAACAAAGATTTGAGAGCTGGAGTTGTCGCATTTAGAGAGGGTTATGAGAAAGTTCGGAGATTTTGTGCTAAAGTTTACAATGCCTTTGTGGCATTACTTTATAAATTACAATAAAATTTGGCAAGTAAATGCCTTATAAGTGAAACTTTTTTTTAACAAAGATTAGATGATTATAAAGATTAATAAGATTACGATACAAAGATTAGATGATTATAAAGATTAATAAGATTACGATACAAAGATTAGATGATTATAAAGATTAATAAGATTACGATACAAAGATTAGATGATTATAAAGATTAATAAGATTACGATACAAAGATTAGATGATTATAAAGATTAATAAGATTACGATACAAAGATTAGATGATTATAAAGATTAATAAGATTACGATACAAAGATTAGATGATTATAAAGATTAATAAGATTACGATACAAAGATTAGATGATTATAAAGATTAATAAGATTACGATACAAAGATTAGATGATTATAAAGATTAATAAGATTACGATACAAAGATTAGATGATTATAACAAAGATTAGATATTTAGATACATAGATCATAAAGATCAGAAGAGTTAAAAAATCTCATTGATTTTGATCAAGTCGTTTTAAAATTTTAGATTGAAAGTTTAAAAAAAGAAGAGGTTTATTAAAAAAGAGGTTTATTATTATCAAATCTTTTCACATTTTTGATATATTTAAGAAAATATTAGCTGCATGATATAAAGTATTGGAAAACAAACAGGATTTTTAAAATAAGATTTCTAAAAAAGTTCTACTTGTTTTTTGTAACAAAAAATGTTTTTTTTCTTGTTTCTCGAAATCTTAAAACACAAAAAAAAAAAAGTACACAGAATGCAATATCTCAAGATAATGTCATTGATTTCTTTCATAACTTTACCATTACAAAAATCGTAGAAGTTGTAGCAGACTAAAGTTATGAATTTAAATAGCTTTGGAGTAAATGTAAATTTACCAGAGTGTCAGGTGGTAGACATGTCGGACAATGCACTTTCATTACAATAGAATTACAAAACATTACATATATATTAGAACCTAAATGTAGTATAACTCCTAGATATGAAAATAATGAATGTACCATTAAAAATGATTATACGAATGACGGAGTTGCTTTCGTTATTCAACATATCAAATATGATTTGTTTCAGATCAAAGCTTTAATTTTATAAAACCATAAAATATAAAAGTTATAAATGGAAAATAATAAAAAAAGATTTTAAAAAAATAGTTAATATACAAATAATAATAATTTCGGTCTCACAAAATTTCATGGAAAATTGCCAAAGGTGTAACTTTTTAAAGTATGTTTGCAGATAATATGTTTTTTTAGATTATGCAAAAAGTAAATATGCGGATTACTTGGATCAAAAACTGCGTGTGTGTAAAACAATTTTATTTATAGGTAAAAGTTTTTACTTTGAAACTCCACCCCATACTTATCTACGCCACCGTCGGTATTCAACAAATTTTTAAAAGAGATTTACGGGATCCTCGTTTTTATTTCACCTTTTGCAAAAAGTAACAACGGCTCGTTTAATAAATTGTATCTTCATGCATATTTATTCTTTTTAGCATTTATACAGTTAAAGCAATGTTATTATATCTACTGATTGTTCCCAGTATATCTACTGATTGTTCCCACTACAACTAATTACTTTCTAAACTTAGACTGAAACTTAATGGAAAGCTACATAAAAATAAATATAAAGAAAGTAAAATGCAAAGTATTATTTCTTATAATTAATTCTAAATAACCCCATTTATCTTTATCACTTAATTATTGGAGTAAAGTTAGTCTTCAATTATATTTCTAAAGTATATAAGCACAATGCAAACACGGAGGTAAATTAAAATTGGTTTAATGAAATTTCTTTCTTTTTACCAACTATCTGTTTTACCTGTAATCATTAGTGTTTTCCTATACTTTAAATTTAATTTTTATTTATATTCTAAATACAAATTAATCAAAATAAAAAGTATCGTAAGACATTTTTTTAATTTACAGAATATAAAAAGCACAAACCCTAAGTATTTAAAGCATTAAAAACTTGGACCAGCAGTTGCGTTGCTTTTACAGATTGAGTCAACAAATAAACATTTCAAAATAAACTTGTAAATATAAAGTCAACAAAAGTTCAAATACTTTCAGATAGTAAATAAATCGAATTTTATGAAATCTTTTTATCTATCCTCCGATATAACATTAAATTTTTATTTACGGTTTGTAAGCAGTCTTTCATGAAATAAGTAGTTTATAGAAATGAAAAAAAAAATTTAATTAAAAAAATCCAAAACTTCTCTAATTATATTTATAGAAATATTCATTATTCCAGCCTTTGCACAGTTCTAATAAATTAACATTTTAATCTAGTTTAATTTTGATTAAATGTTTTCATTTCATTTGTAATTTCCTAATAAAACATATTTATTAGAAAATTGCTATTTTATTAGCAATTTAGTAATATACACATAAAACAATTTTTTAATTGATAACTTTAAATAAAGTTTCTTTATTCAAAGTTATCAATTTAAAAAAATCCATATTTTTTTGTAAAAATTTTTTTTTTTGTCATTAAGTATTTATTATAAGAATTAATTCTTCATGATGAATAAAAAACAAAAATCATCACGAAAGTGATGAACATTAGGAGTTTTTGTACATCATCAGGAAAATGATAAACAGAAAAATTCTCAAAATAAAATCAATAAAAATACCGAATATAATATTTAAAAACTTATGGTTATTATTTGCATCAACTTATTTATTTAGGTAATCTGAAAAAAAAAATATTTCAATTTGATTATGATATATCTTACGATTTGAAATTATATAATGAATTTATAGCTTTTTTATTTAGGTTTTCTTGATTTATTTTGTTTACAAAAAATAACAGTAAATCTATGACCACGAGATTAAATTTTTTACAAATCAAGTTTCAAACAGAGAGAAACAGAGAAAATTTTTTTTTTTCATTTTTTTTTTTTCATTTTGTGGATAAGTGATTTCTCTGGTTAAATATAGTTTTTTTTTTTTTTTTTTTTTTTTTTTATATAAATTTTCACAACTACATATTGATTACAAATTTTTTTACACTGCAATAACATAAACAAAATATACTTCCAATACAAAAAAAAAAAAAAAAAAAAAAAATTACAAAATACCATTAAGATAAACATAGAAAGCAATAAGTAAATATGCTATAACTTGCTAACGGTTTTGCCTGTTGTAGGGAACTCGTAGAAGACTGAGATTAGTCTTATCATCGAGAATCTTGGGGTATTGCGTAAAGTACACATATAAACATTATGATTCTCATAAAACAATTATTTTAAATGTTATTGATCTAGACTTTTTTTTTTTTCTTTTTATTATACTATGTATGGTGTTAGTGTTGTGGTTTATAATAATAATATTAGCTTTGTTTTTTAATTAAAAAAATACATTTTCATTTTTGATTGATTGCTGATTGTTTGAACGTGAGCGTAAATATTAATTTATAATTAGAACTAAAACATTTCTCAGTAATTATTTGTATTGAGAACATGATTTTTTGGTTTTGACTTTAAAAAAGTTATATTGTCAGCAAGAGAAATTGAGGTATAATTCGGAATTAATTTGTTATATAAATAAAGGCCGCAATAAGAAATAAAAAATTGCGAATTTTTTTGTCTTTTCCGGGGTACAAAAAAGTTACCAGTTGCTCTTGTGTTAAGTTTGTTGATAAAATTGAAAGAAATTTTATTTATATCGGTTTGAAACTAATCCTAATTTTTATTTTAGCATGAACAATATATTAGCATAGATATTAATTTGGTAAATGTTTAGGGCTTTTATTTCTTTTAATAGGGGTTTAGCGTGGGTTTTTTCTTATGGTGTATTATTCTAGAGGCATGTTTTTATCGTCGATAAAGGGACATTAGCTTTGTCTTGTGTGTGCTTCGCCAAGCAATGTTGGCATATGTGAGATAACTATGTATAAAGGAAAAGTAAAGAAGTTTTAGGTTTTTTTGTGATAAAAATGGTCTAGCTTTAAGAAGTATACCAATACTTTAAGATATATTAGTGTTGATAGCATTTATATGGGCTGTCCATGAAACATTTTCGTCAATAATCACACCAAGAAGTTTAATTGTTTGAGTTTTTTCAATTTTTTTGTGTTTGATACTTAGTGAGGATAGAATTGGTGGTACTTTATTTTTCTGTTTCTTTGAGTGAAATAAAATATATTTAGTTTTTTGTGCGTTTAATAATAACATGTTAGCACTGAACCAAGTTTTATATTAACCAAAGTTATTAAAAACAAAATGTGGATACCACATTTTATTTTTAATAACTTTGTATTAGTGATACCGCCTATTATAACACATTGTTGTCTGTTATTTAATTAATTAGTGAACCATTTAATAGTTTGGTTTTTTATACCGTACTTTCTCATTTTGTCGAACAGAATTTTATGACTGACAGTATCTAAAGCTTTTATGGTTTTGTCAGAATTTTATGGTTGACAGTATCTAAAGATCAATAAAAACTCCCAATACAAATTTTCCTTCATCAAAAAATGATCTAATGTTGTCCAGTAGGTCTAAGGTTGCATGCTCCGTAGAATGATTTATTTGAAAACCGTATTGACATTCATTTAGAATTTTATTGGCTGGTAAATATTTATAAAGTCGGTTGTACATTATTCTTTCCAGGAGTTTGGAAAACACTGGAAGAATTGAGATAGGTCTA